ATCATTGTATACGAAAAACGATTCTGAGGGGAGACGGTATGTCAGTTTAGGACATTTTACATTCTTATTAATTATTATTAATATGGTAGCTGGTAAGTTGAATTAATATTGTTCTTAAATTATCAGTGATGCTGTGAAAATATTAAATATACCTATGTAAAATTAGGCTGTTTTGGATTCGAATTACAGCAAAATGATAAACGTTATTCTCTGTGTTAATATGCAAATTTGTCTAAATTTGAACAAAATGTCTGTAAAAAATAACTGTATTCATAAATTTCTTAGATTTTTTAGTGACGAAAAAAACTGTTCAAGTGAAACCTTGTTTTAAACTTTAAATTTTATACATTTTTAATTACGAAATCATTTTAGATTTTCAATTTGATAATTATTGTCAAAATTTGAACTTCAAATATTTATAAAAAAAAATTGTGCCTATGTATTTTTAATATTTTTCAACTGCTATTTTAACAACATATCAAGAGTCTTGTATTAAATTTTCATGCATTTTGATCCAACCAATAAAATGTTATTGACATTTTTAGAAAAAAAATGAAAATGTCCGTCAACGGCTTAAAACTAGTCCAAATATTTTTAAAAGTTTATGAAGTATACGAATTGATAGAATAAACGTTTGGAGTAAATGTCAAGTGTCTACAGTAATTAGTTTTTGAATTACAACAAAATAAGAAAATCGCTACAAGAGAAATCAAGTGAAAATCCAATGTTGTAAAAATTTCAACTTCAAACGCTCATAAAAATTTGATTTGACTTTCCAGTAGAAGTTTTTTTTGTATAAAGGTACACAAACTTGTAAGGAATCTAGAATTAAATTTTGAAATCTTAGATATAAAAAGAAAAAAATGTATGAATTTCTAACTAAGTATAATTTGCTAACTTTTGGGATTTTTTACGAATTTTGTTAAAATTCCAAATTTAAACGCTCATAAAAAATTATTGCGGATTTACGCTCAAATTTTTTTAAAATTTTCATTAACAAAAACTTACAAGGACCTTGTATTACAAGTTTTTTGAATGAGCGAAAAAAATTTTATCGACTTTAGTTTAAAAAAACAAATAATACCTAACGAAAATTTCATATACCTATAAATAGTTCAACACAAATCAAAGTATTTTGAAAATGTTTTGGTGAATAGAAAAATGCTTACACAAATATTCGGTTTTTATTTCATGTATCTAGGATCATTTTTTTTAGAGTTACACTAAAAACTAAAATCGATGTTTTCGAAAAATGGTTTTGCGTAAGAATTCCCGTTAATTTTTTGTTGGTTTTTCCAGTTGCTTTAGAAAACTATTGGGAATTTTGGCTTCCCGAATGAATCAACTAGATTCAATTTTCTACCAAAAAAGTTGCTGTTGAAGAAAATCGAAGCACTATTACTGCAAGAAGCTATTTCATGACAGACACACAAAAAAAAATAAATATAAAAACATGCATCATTTTCATACCGATACATTCATCGCTCGGCTCAGAATTTAATAATAGTCTATTATGCTATAGTCAAATACAGGTGCATAATAGTATACATTATCTCTTTTTTCAAAATAGGAGGACAAATTCATATACGATTTATTTTATTTTTTAAGAAAATGGTTAAGTACATGCGCATAATAGTTTTGAGGGTGTATATGTATATAGTTTGCGTCTTATGTCGACAACGATGTTTTTTTCTGCATATTATGTTGGATACACTGTGAACCGTAGGAGTATGTGTACATGATATAATATTATATAGTGAGACGAGCGTCTAGAGACAGCCCGCGAGCAAATTCCTTATCAATTTATTATAATATAATCACAGATTTATAAACATATGTTTATATATCTGTGAATATAATATTTCTTATCGTAATTTCTTATCAAATTTGAATACCATAATATTGGATTTTTATTTTATTTTTTTGTTAATTAAATTAAATTAATTTTTCTTTAATATTAAATTTACCATGTTTGTGTGTGCATATTGCAAAACAACTTTTACATTATTATTCATAGTATAAGCTCTATGTTATTATTACAACTGTATATTTTATTTTATGATAACTATTTATTATTTATGGCACTATTATGGCCTAACTTAACCTTGATATTTAAATTACGATAAGAAATATTACATTATAATTGATAAGGAATTTGCTCGCGGGCTGTCTCTAGACGCTCGTTATAGTGAGAAGTTGTGCGTAAGGTGTATACATTAAGAGATGAATATTGACACATACCAAAACGAAAATTTATTTCGACGTTAGAAGCGTAATATAATATACGCATTGGAACGTGTGTCATGTTATTATTATTGCCTATTATTATTTCCATTGTTAACTTGTGCAGTAGTGGTTGTCGTGGAGGTATCGCGTGACAACGAACAACAAGTCGTCTACATGTATTATGTATACCTACCTAGTACCTACCCACATATCATTATTATTATATGCGTTTGAATCGAAGCCGACCGAGGAAAATACGTCTTTCGCGTGTCGCTGTCGGCGGCAAAAAAATGATACGTATTTTACGTTCGATTTCGTATTACTAAAACATGTCGCGTGTGTACAACAAGTATAATATAAGTGTATAACACATTTTAGAATTTAAACATTTATATTGTCTGATGGATCAAACGTCTCCAAGGTTGGCTGTATAATATTATATTATTTAAGTAGGAGCGCATTAAAGGGGGTATACATATACAAGCTGGTTGTCAGTGTCGTGTATGAGATGGGCGGGAATGGCCCCCGGCCCCTTTGGATTTTTTTCAGCACCTTTGTTTTCGTGAATAATTTAATCGGCGTGAGTATATTATAGTTTGTACTGTAAATTCGGGCTGTTAGTAAACGTGAGATATTATTTGTTTGAAACAGTTCACGTGATACAGTTAGCCTGATAAACATAAAATAAACTTAACAAACAAAACAAAACAAAAAACAAATAAGACATATATTGTTTTAGATTTCGATGAATGATGGATAATAATTAACTGGGTACATGTATGCAATATGACAACTAATATATGATATCGTGGTAAGGTACCTTTATTTTTGGATTGTAATAACAAAATCTTCATGCACGCAGTGCTTAAGTTTTTTTTTTACGCATTTATTACAAAAGACGCGTCCGTATATTATAGACCATATTTTAAAACCTATTTTTCGTAGGTACATAATAATATCGTTATAAAGTGTTGAGTAAACGGATGTTACAAACACTCAAGTACCGCGGGTTCGTATAAAATGTCAAACTTTTCGAGAACAAAGCAAATAGGGTGAATTCCAGTTCATTAATTAGACTTGAATTCGCGTACGACTATCGTCGTACACGTAGCTGGTACCCATAAGTATTTGAGATGTAAACTGTTACGTGAGTGTATTCACACAAGAGGTATAATAGTGAGTGGAAACCAGTGGCGGAGTGGTGGAGGTAGATTGAGGGAATACATTACGATAATGATAGCAAACACAGCCACGGTTGCAGCGGATATTATTATTTACTTCTAACGGTAATTATTTGCAGAAAATAACTCCGGGCTCTTGCGGTAGAAATCTAATAAGTAATAACTTCAACTCGAATCCACCTACGACCCGCGAGTTAGAAGCAATTAGAGAAACCGATTCACAAAGGCCGGTCACAAATAAACAATAGATGTTGTGAATAGTTGTTAAATTACGACGATGACAAAGCATATATTTCTCTGTATATCTGTATATTATATAAAACAGTAAGCTCACTGAAATCAACGCGCAGCTCGAACCATTGAACTGATCGGGCTGAAATTTGGCGTAAAGATAGCTATTATGATGTAGGCGTGCGTCAAAAAAGGATTTTTGGAAGTTCAACCCCTAAAGGGGTTAAGAGGGTTGAAAAGTGTAAAACTAGAAAAACGGCCTAGCCGAAACCACTGTAGCTATAACTATGATATTCAGTCGGTACTTTTGTTTCATGACGTAGACATTTACCAAGAAAGGAAAACATTTAATCAACTAAAAATTTTAAAATTAAAATTAATTAAGTAAATTAAGGATGCGTCCTGAAGTCCGATTTTAATGGATGTACATGTATTCGCCGTTATCTGAACTATGCTGTTAGGAAACACTATCAACAAATATAATTTGTCAACAATTCTAGGACATAGAGAAGGTGTCGGACTACAGAAAGTATGTATAATTCACTTTCACTTAAAATTACGAATGTTATTATTATTATTATTATTATTATTATGCGTTCTATGCGCCGTCGGTCGATAAATTAAAATGTTCTTAACAAAAGTTAGAAATACGCGCGACATTGCCTCAGCTATAGCTTCTTCTGCAGCTACACTGCTCGAGGATGGTCGAACTGCTCATGCTACCTTCAAACTACCACTCAATCTAACTACTTCGGACACACCCGTTTGTGGTATATTAAAGCAAAGTAATTTTTCGAAAATATTAAAAAATTCAAAAATAATAGTGTGGGACGAAATCACAATGGCGCATAAGGGTGGTGTTGAGGCTTTAAATAGATCTCTACAGGATATAAAGGGAAATAAAAGGTTAATGGGTGGTGTAACGGTTTTGCTGGCTGGAGACTTTGGCAGACTCTACCAGTAGTACCAAAAGGGACCAGAATTGATGAAGTCAAGTCATGCCTTACAAGATCTACTTTGTGGCCTCAGATTAACATACTCTAACTGTCAAAAAATATGAATGTACATTTGGGAGCGGAAAAGTCTGTTGGTAGGTTTGCAGATATTTTACTATAAACTGCCAATGGTGATTATCCATCATTTGATGAAATTATAACCATCCCAGAAAATGTGTGCACAGTTGTAACTACGGTTCAGGATTAAATATCAAAAATGTATCCAGATATTGCTATTATTCATGATACGCCTAGGTTGTGTGAACGTGCTATACTTACCCAAAAAAATGACCAAGCGGCGGCTATAAATGTTATACTGCTGCTGTCTTTTGTGGAAGAAGAAAAAGAATAAACTTCTATAGACAAAATGGTCAACATAGACAATGCAACTAAATATCCTGTTGAATTTTTAAATTCGTTGAAACCAACGGGTGTGCCATATGATAGGATTATTCTGCGGGTAGGCACACCTATTGTGTTGTTGCGAAATTTGAAACCACCTAAACTGTGCAACGGGACCAGGCTTAAAGTCAAAGCCTTACATCGCAATATAGTTGAAGCCACAATTTTAACTGGATGTGCAAAAGGGGAAACTGTATTTGTACTACGAACTCCCTTAATTCTAAACGATCTTCCGTTCGAATTTAAACGATTGCAGTTTCCCCTCAGAGTCTGCTTTGCAATGACTATAATTAAATCTCAAGGCCGGACTCTCAAATTTGCGGGAATAGACTTGCGAGAAAACTGTTTTTCACTTGGACAGTTATATGTAGCTTGCTCATGCGTAAGCTCACCCAGTATCTTGGTGATTTTGACTCCTACTAATAAATCAGCAAAGAATATTGTCTACAAAGAAGTTTTAAATGATAATACTAGAATCTATGTTAGAAACATAATATTGTAGACTACCAGCATCTGTAAACCATTGAAAACCGATCTTGATTATCTTGATTATCCTGCATATTCAGCACTACAATTAAATATGTTTAAAGTTCATGTGTATTTAAGATCACAAAGAATTTAGGCCAAAAATAAATTGTGTCACTGTATTGTTTTAGATAACGTTTTATGTCTGTAAACACAACATACCATGCATAATATACATATTCTATAATATATGGTCTGTGTAATTTATATAAATGTATACATCTTTTTCAGTCTGAAAAACTTTTCCGCTAGTCAATTACCAGAACAACTATAGACGTAATTAGGGTTTTTCCAAAACTTTATGGTCGAACAAAAGTTGTACGGCGAAATAAGAAATAATAGAAACTTTTGACATACTTTCCTCTTAAATGTATTTTTCTAATTAATTTTTGAATCGTCCAAGGTCCAATTAAAAGTATTATTAACTGATACGTATAATGTTCAATGGAACGAGAAATGTTCAGAGATTTCGTTAAAAGCAAATTACATACGCCATATATTATATGTAATAGTCTTCAAACCATTTTTATGTTTTTAATTTTAAAGACGTTAGGATAAATATTAAGTAATATATTTAATATTGTTCTACTAATAGTCATAATGGGTGCTTGGATTTTCAGTTAAACACATATTTTTACTGAAATACAATACAAATATTTGGATGATGATAGTTTCAATTGATCTGTACTAAAAAGTTTTATTTGATTTCATACATTTTTTAACTATTCAGCAATAATAACTTACTTTAATAAATTTAACTGATTTGAATGGACAATAACTTAAGTAGGTACAAACTTAGTCATTGTAAAACAAATATTATATTCATTGCCCAACTCGAAAATGAGCTATTTTCCTCAAAATTAGTTTTTGTAAGATCAATTTTGTTTTTTTTGTCGTAATTAAAAAAAAAAAAATAACTATAGTTATTAAATTTTACCGAAATATGTTCATCTTACCATTCAAATCAGACATGATATAGTTTGGCTATTTTTGAGTTATGCAAAGATATTTTAAATCTTAGAATTTTTTTCGATTTATGTAGGGTTAAGTTTTTTTTTGTGAGTAAAAAATCTTAAATATTTTTTAAGTTTTTATTTAAGATAGTTGTTTAGATGCAAAATAATTGTATTGACCAAGATCTATAATTGATATGCGTATAATATCCAAGAGTGAGATTTGATTCTTCCCAATAGTTATCATCCATTCGGTGTACGATGTGCGCGTGTATTTGACTCATATGACATTAAATACGCAGTTGAAACAATCTAATCCTGTCTAAAGGTCAAAAGTCACAACCTTTCACAATGACATCTAAACAGAACGTAATAGAAAAAAAAATGGCAACGATATAATATGGAAGTATCAAATTCTTCTATACATACATCTAAGCGAAAGCAAAATTGATTCCGTTGGTAAGTTATTGTTAAATATCCCTTCGAAAAAAAGTGTTTACCAACGTTTCATGTTGCAGTTTTATAGATATATAATAAATATATTTATAAAAAATAACACAAATGTCTTAATCTAAGTATAGGTTATACTCGTGAATAAAGAAAACTACACGACGACGGATATTACTCTTTTACATTTGTTTTTACAGTCGCTTGAGTATGTACGAGACAAAAGGTAGTTTTATTAAATGTACAATATTTTATTAACGCTGTTTGACGAGACGGGTGACGAAGGGCGCAGCGGAGAAATTACGACGAAAAAAAAATAAAAGGTTATTACATTTTTAAATTTGATTCGATACGTGACTGCAGCAGTAAAGTAGTTGCAGAGAGCCTCGCTCGTTGTATTTAACAAAGTTGTGAGTTTGTGACGACTTGTTTAAAATGTCTGCAGTTGAGCAGACAAAGTCGGTGGTTCGCGGAGAGTTATTACACGCGACGTCTGCATTTGTAGGTATTTGTATAATATTAAAACGAACCCTGAGCGATCAACGTACACACATATATACGATATTATTATGATCATGTACGAGAGAGAGAGAGAGAGAGAAAAAACAATTACATTTTATTTCTTTTGATATGGTGTTTCGTATATATATAATATAATATGATGATATTAAGACCTAATGCTGTCTGCAGTAGTGCACACAGCTATGTATGTATATTTCGTTATACACCCAAGCGCTTGAAAACGTATTATTTTTTTTTCTCGTGCATATTATATAATATTTGCAATAGTTTATTAAAATTTAATACGTATAATAGGAGGATTGCATGCGGGAAACAAGACGCGATGTATAGGTATATCTGAAATCTCGGCACTTCAGCTAGGCGTAAATTAAAAATTCGCTGGATGCGATAACATAGTTGTAAATATACATTAAAAATTACGTATATGGTACACCTATCCAACTCAATATTGTTGTTCACCGCCATCAAAGACCTACCAATCTATTTGTATACAATCTATACTATTACATAAAAGTGTAAGGGGTTGTCTACGACCGCGCTAACCGAGAAAACTACTGAACCTATTTGACTGACATTTTTTACTGTTGTAATGATATGCTCACACATCATTGTAACAATTATTTAA